TTTTGTATGTAATTTGTAGAACAATTAAAACCACACATTCTCTCAAAATTTGAACAAATTGCAATCATTTTGAGCCGACTTATAGCCAAACTCTAGAACCACACCTTTTATGTTCCAAACCGCTTCAAATTTTTTTTCTGTATATTTTTAATCTACACCAAACATTTTTCATCACAAAGCCAATCTTCAAAAAAATTCTGACGGAAAAATTGTTTTTTTCTTCTGGAGTCATCGTCACGTCTGTGAAGATTCAGAAGAGACAAAAAGTGATTGAATTTCAAAAAACTTATATGACGCTTTGTTGGAAATACAGCTACATTTAACAAAAAAGTTTTCGATTATTGGATAAGTTTAAGAAAAGTTATGAACAAAAGTATAGAGGGACAATCACTAACGTTCGCCACTGTATGTTTTTTTCAGTTCAGAATATTCTAAAAACTACCCTAATAATTTTTTTAAGTTTTCAAATTAGCCTTTAAAAGTATTTTAAAAAACCCTATGAAATGCCTATTCAGGAAAAACAATTTCCCCTTCTTTTTTCCGAACACTTGGTGATGTTTTTCCAGTTTCGGAAACTCCAAAAACTACCCCAAGAATCATTTGAATTTACAATCAGAAATGCCGAAAAAAAAGAAAAAGTTAATTTTTAATTTTAAAAACGTGTAGTATATAACAACCATCGAAACTTCATCTAACGTGCTCCCGATTAGCCTAGTGGTTAACAGGGATGAATTTGAATCAACCATCGTTGGTTCGAGTTCTCCCCAGAGCCTAGTGGTTTTTGTCAGAGTACAGTAATCGGGGTTAATCGTGAACAAAATACGGGAAATGCCCCCTGGTGTGGGGATACGATCGCGTGACAGGAGTAGCTGAACAAAAAAAGGTGAGGAATGGGATTTTTTTTAGTTTCAGGTTCAATTTTGTCGCTTTCCTGAGTTTTCATTTAAGATACGGGGGCTATAAGAGTTTCCAACTTTCCAGTTAAAAAAAATCATCGGAGTTTGATATTTATGAAACCACGTTTTGCAAAGCCACGATTTAGAAAAATACTTGATTTTCCAACGTTCAAGTTGCAGGAGCTGTTGGTGTCCGGGATGTGCCAGCTTCCGGGACTTCGAAGAAAGGTTCCACGGCAGGTTCCGCGATTGGCAGGATTCAAGTCCAGAGGAGAGGACTAAGGAGTAGCGGAATAGAAAGAAAGGTGAGGAAATGAGAATTTAAAAAATTCACTTTTTGAAAGATGGGTTTTTTTTTTTGAAAGTGGCAAAATCGATGTAACAGAATATCAGATTTCCAATGAAAGCGGACAAGAGGTCAGCTGTGGAGACAGCGGTCGAGCGGTCGAACGGTGGAAACGGTCAAGAGGTGGCGCCAAGTCGCCATCGGGATGCCACAAAATTGTGAACTTGATTTTATTTTTGTGATTTTTTTTTTTGTTTTGCTTTTCTTGCGCGCTTTTCTTTTCGGCGATGGTTTTTCAGGGTGTCTTTCTGTTTCGGAATCGTTGTTGTTCGTTCTCGTTTTTGTAGTCGTCCTTCCGGCTGTGTCTTGAACACAGACAGTCCGTTATCCGTCCGCATGTATGGCCGTCCGTTGTCCGTTGATATATTTTTGTCCGTCCTGCAGTTAAAGGTGGTGGATAAGCTTCGTTTTCTTTTCCGTCAATTTTTTCCATCGTTAGTTATCCGTTTGTCGCCGTCTGGGCATTTTTTGGCTGTCCGTCGAAAACTGCTTTAGTGTTTTTTTCCGTTGTCCGTAAACAAAATTTCGCTGTCCGTCCATTGCTGACCTTGAATTCATGTTAATGTAACAATTGAAACATTGGGTCTGGAAGGTTATTAGAGACCCGGGAAAATTAAATACCATGATCAGAAGAATGAGAGTGAAATTTGGTTATAAAACTTAATTAATAAAACTTTCAAAAGTGCTCATAAATGATGTTGCCTGGAATTTTTATAAATGATGTTGCCTTTTTATAAATGATGTTGCCTGGAATTTTTGGTTTCTTGTTTTCAAGACAGCTAGTTCGAAATGAACTAGACAAGACGGTAGGTGACCAATCAAGATCAGAAATTCGCATTTTAACGTTAACAATTCTGAATACATATTTCTGAAGGTTTCGATTTTGGCTTTGGTCCAAACCTTTATAAAAAACTCAAAATGTCAGAATGTTTTCAGAATCTGATATTTGTGTTTTTTTTGGTAAGTATCAATTTCATAATTTTTTATTTTCAGGTTTTGGGTAAAATTCAGAATTCCCAAAGTTAACATTTTCGACAAATGAAATACAGATGGAGAGGTTCGATGATTAGAAAATACAAGAATTTCAAAGTTCCGGAATTTCGAAGTTCTGAAATTCAAAACATTTCAGAATTCAAAAATATTTTAAAGGTGAACTAAAAATGACACAGTATAGTCTCTGCAAAATTTGAAATGATGACAATGTTTCAAATATGTTTTGTTTTTTTTTTTGTTTTAAATGTTTTCCTTTCTTTTCAAGTTGTGAAATTAATAAAGTTTATTGTTTTGAACAATATTTAGGAAATAAATAATTCATAATCTTTAGAATCCAGTGTCGTTTTCAAACCATAACATCTCCTCTCTTGCTCATTTCTTCGCTGGCAATAGCCAAAAGAGAACGTCTCTTTCTAGAACATCCTCCGCGAGTGCATCCACAAGAGCATCCTCCTCCCTTAAATCGAATGTTGTTTTGGTGTCAAGTGTTCTAAAACTTACATTCGTACAAGCATTAGTGCAGACTGGCTGACAACATTTACAACAAGTTGTGGTGGTGACTGGAACCAATACAGTCTGTTGAACACATTGCATACATCCTGGAGTTCCACAGGTGCATGGAGGTGGAGCAGATGGGCAACATGTCTGGAACAGAGCGCAGTTTGAGTCAATTGGAAATTGAAAACATGAGATAAAACGGTGTAAAATTATTACAAACCTGTCCACACATTCCCATTGATCCACATCCACATCCACTCATTCCTCCGCAACATCCACCCATTCCACCACATTGTCGTTTAGCTCGAATGGCAACTGCTGTTGTGCTACTTGGTAATTCAGACGACGTGTCATCAGAACTTGAGAAAATGGATGCAGAAGAAATTGCAACATTCAATAGAAGAAGTGCAAAAAGTTTAGCGTTCTGTTTTGGATATTGCATGATTATTTGTGTTATGCTCTAGTGATCAGTCCAGAAACACTTTTATAGATTTACCGTCCCACGGATGTTTGCATTGCGGTCTCCACTTGCGGGCAGAAATCAAGATTTTTTCTCTAGGTGCCAGCGCGAATTAATCGAGAAAACACTTGAAAGAGGCTCGATTTCCGCATTGGTCAAGCGATCATTACTCGGCAGAGATTGGAACGTGGGAAAAAAGTTGCAGAGGGAATGAAAAGAAATCAACTAGAGACTATGCACATAATTCTAAATTTTTAAGGAACTATGGATTGTTTTCAACCGTGCAGGAGAGATTTTTTGGAGAAGATACATTTTTGTGGGGATCTGTCCTTGAGGATATCTCCTCTCCGTCTGAAAATTTTGTCTAAAACTCGTTTACAGAAAGAGACTGATCTACGGGATCCATGGTGCAGTATCGTCAACTTTTGCAGTTTTCGATATGTCTACAGTAATTTTTTTGGTTTTTGAATATATCCTTTTGGTTTTTGAATATTGTCCCTACAGTAATCCATGTCAATTTCAAATATTTTTCTCTACAGTAATCCCTACAATAATGATTACTGTATGGGGTTTTTCAGATTGATCAAGGAAGAAGCTTTGATCAAGTTATGAAAATTCTTCAACTTTATCTGCTTTTTTTTTCAGAAAATAACGAAATTTGACAATTGTTTGAGTATTCAACTATTTTTGTACAATCCTTATCCAAAGTTGCTCTGGATAACAATTTTCCTGAAAAACATGAAAAGCAAAAAACAAAATTCAAAACATACATTATGAAATTTCATTTCAACGAAACCCATTTTTCTTATCACAATTCCATGTTCTTCTCACTATCTCCCAATTGTCACTCACACCATTTATTCAGTTATTCCCAAATATATTCCAGAATTTTCCCCCGTTTTACCTAAACTTTTTGATTCCCGTTAAGACAACCTTCTGTGTCCACATTTTGCGTAAATCTGATGAAAATTCTACGGTGACCCTGATCAGTTTCACCTCTCCATCTGTGGCGTCGTTTGCGAGTTTTCTGCGGTTGTCAGAAAGAAATAAAATTCAAATAAAAAACGCTTTCTTTTCTTTTTCCACCTTTTAAAAGAATACTTCTTCTCATTAAAAAATGGAGTACTACAAAATAGTTTAATTCTTAACCAAACTACGTTAATGCAGATAGACTGAACGGAAGACAGAAATAAAGCAGTTTGTCTTGACAGTCAAGTTGACACTACCATAAATACTATTGTTTTAGGGGAGGAGGTAATAATCCACGTCACAAATTTCGAGATAAGATGGTAGTCGGTGGTCAACAATCGGTGCACCACCAGTACGTATTGTTTTATCTCATCAGATGTCGACTAGGCACAATTAGAGTATGTGTGTCGTTCATAATGACAGACTCAGAAATCTGATCTTTGTACCAACTTATTCTTATATTTTTCAAAAATATGGTCTTCTCGAATTGCAACGGGCGGGCCCTGATTCTTCAAGCTGCATTTTTCAACTGGTTTCAGTACCTTGCTATACTATTTAGTTGATTCCAAAACAGATCTACCGGTCCACCATTCGAAAATTCCTTTTTTAGAAACCGCTAATAATTGCTATGTTATACTTCGTTCAACCCTAATCATCTTGATTCTAACGAGCTATCTTCAAATTATTGTGAACCAATTTTCACGTGAATACGTTAACAGAACCTATCGAACCGCATACTTATAAATCGAGCCTTTGCCGAGCCTTCGCGAGTTATTTTATTTAGAATCAATCTATTTGGACCAACTAAAGTAGATCTGATAGAACTCAACGAGTACTAAAAATGATATCCATTGAAAAAAACTGTATATTGTCTATGAACAAAGTTACAGCCAACAAAATTGAAAAACCGTAAAAACTGGCAGCACCCGGCCTGGCCCGGATCATCCACTTTATTTTTTAGAGCTTATAACTTTGTGCATAGATAAGATAAGTTTTTTTAAGTCGAGATCTATCATAGCTAATCTAGATGGTCCAAAAATATTGATTCTAAAAGAAGCTATGGCAGGGCCCGGTTTACAATTTATGATGATAATGACTTCACTAAATTATAATAACTTTTTTCCAGTTATTAGTTTACATCAACTTGCTCGGTCCCCATCTCTTTCTTCTGACCTCATTCAAATATTTTCAGTTGCATAGTCATTCCTTCACGCCACACTGTCTAGTGTTTTAAAGCACCACGCCATTCTAATTACACCCAAGTGCATCACTCCTCGTGGTTTTTTTGTTAAACAGCTGATAACTATAACTACAGCCACAGACCACCCCTATGACCTTTTATCATCGAATCTCTCTTCTCTCTCTTCTAGTCACGTGGTGATTTGAAGACGTGGAAACAGTAACAGATACATATTCAGAAGGAAAGACGCCACTCTACAAATTTTTGTCCATTCTACATCTGTCTCTCTACCCCCTCCTCCCATTTAATTGGCTGTCAGCCATATCATTATATCAATTTTTCACTGTGTTCTCTCTCTCGTTTCTACAGTATCTTTGGACACTCACTTATCACTGCTATCATTTCTAATTCCTCTCCATTTTTCACTCTATTATCAATATTTTCTTTCGTCTCATCAATGTATGAATTCCAGTTGGGCGTCTAACCAAAACTAAAGAAAGCATCGGATCTTTTTTCTTTATATTTCCGCTTGCATATCAACTTCACTTCAGAAACTCAAATAACAACATTCTCGCATCTACCGTAATCTCATAGTAGTCTTTATTAGAATCTTCGAAAATCCTATGTTTTTATTTGTCTACATTCTGATCTAAACTGTTTTCAGTAACAATTTTTTTCAACGATCCCATTGTTTACTTTTTCAAATTCTCTCATTTCAAGAATCTCGGTATCTGAAAATTTTCTTTTTATTCTTAATCATAATGACTGTCTCTACTCATCACTACCATCAAGGCTGAGAAAATCGGTAATTGGTAGGACCAATCAGTCTGTTTTTTTTTCGAAAGTACGCTCAGCGACCCTAAAACCACTTAGGGCGGCTAAACCGCCGTATCCTATCTATCCTTAAAAGTTCTTTATTCAAAAAGCTGCATCCGTTCGTGGTATAGCCTTGATTACCATATAACTTCCTTGTCCAGTTATCAGCTGGTCATATATAGATACTGATGTTTTTGGAGTTGTTCCCAATTATTATCATTACATCATCAAATGAAAGAACTATTTAGTAACCAAACGAAGTTTCACTTTGTTAATCAAATTTTAAGCGAAAATTCCTGCCCCAATATAGGTTCTATAGTTTTCGTAAAAAAACTTTTTCCTCAAAATCTAATCCCCATCCATTTTGTTTTTGCCGCTCCTATTACTTCATTCTTTTTCTTATCAGTTTGTTATTCTTTTTTTTCAGGCTATGATAGAATGTCCCAACTTGTGAAACAAATATCTGTGTTTACCACCGCTGAACAGTATCAGAAGATAATCCATCAATTGGTATCTTATGAAGATTTCTTTTTTATACTTTTCAATATTTGAATTTCAGCTTGGACAACTTTCCAGAACTCGAGAAACCGTTGCTGATGAGGCAGCTGTAGAGAACAATATTCTGATAATAAGAAACCACATTGAGCAACTTTTGGAAAAACGATTCGTAGGTAAGAGAGATATGTTCTAAAATTCCGAATTTTGATCTGTTCGACGCATTCACCCACGTGGTTGGGACAAATTCTATCTGAGGCGTTGATAGTCTGGGAAGAAGAAAAAAGAAGGAGTGGGGGGAAGATAATGCAGATAGAAAAGATGACACTGACAACGATGCGCTTTTGATTTACGACCACATCCAAAACGATAAATTGATAACGATGAAGATAGAATCATCTGTCCACAAACTATGGATACAGATAATAAGTGGAGGGACAAATAGACCAACAGCAGAAAAAACATTAGATGGACATTAGGAAAATCAGAAAAGTTTAGAAAGAGCTTGAAAATAGCAAATACCTCATAGTTAAAAAGGAAGACCTTTTCGATAAAATATAAAACAAGAAGTGGCGATGTGGGCTTCTATTAAAGGATATACGGTATTATTTTCTATCCGGATAGAAAAGAGCTTACAATTTCTATGCGAATTCTCCTTCGCGGTTAATGGATTCATGTCTAACAACTTTTAGTTCAAAAACTGTGACTCTATTCACAGCGAAGGAACGGTCCGTCGACAAGCCGTCAACGGTCCGCGCTCATCGCTAAAGCGGAAACTAGGCGGTGTTCACCCGTCCGCGGCTCTTGAGCCTGCATCTAGAAGTTATCTGTTAGTCCCGCTTTGCTTGTGGACATAATAAAGTATTATCAAAGTTGGAAACATGTTTAAGACCTCTACATTTCGTCATAAAAGTCCTTTCTTTCAGTTTTGGCATCCCCGGAACTTGGAGATGATGAGTTTGAAGACGAGTGGAATGTTCTTGTTTGGGGTCTTCTGGTATGCATTGTTCGTTTACCACAGACAATCGAAAAAGATTCTACAACGGAAAGTTTGAACCTATACTTGATTCGCCTGATCAATATGGCTCGCCCTCTACGGCTTCCAAAAGTGTCTGTTGAGAGAGAACAATGGTGGAATCAGTTTTTCGATCAATTCAACAACCTCTTGCATTTTTTGCACGGATTGCTCTCCCAGTTGCAAAATCCAAATTGCAATGTTGAAATCAAGATGAGAGCATTTTTCACGAGACAGGTATTCTGATAGCTTGAAGCGAAATTTATCAAACAATTTCAAATTTCAGCTCCGACCATGTTTGGCAGCATTTCGCCGAGGATGTGTTGAAAATTCCCCTTTACTTCATACGGAACTCAGAAGAGTTCAAGTTGAAAATTTGTCAAATCATGGAAAACTGCTAGAAGATGACTTACGAGAAATCAAAAAGTACTACTCAAGTCTAACCTACATTTTGGGTATTCTAGCAATCCGAATTCAAGGTCTTCGATTTGAATGTCAAAGTTCTTCCACGAATATGTATGCTACGCCAGATACTTTATGGCAGCTATTGCAAGAAGTAATGATGACTTATGAGCAAGTTATGAATGATGCTTTGATGTGTAATGAGCCCAGTGGCTCACCAATAATGGTGACAAATAACCTTTTTACGTTCACATGCTACTCTTTGAATAAGGTAAGGAAGCGAGAAGGGCTCATTTTATATATCCTATTACAAATTTTTCAGACTCTCTTCTACAACTCATTCGATATTCAAATCGTCAGTGAAGAGACAGCAGCGGCAATTCAAAATGAGATAATTCAATGTAGAATGGGATCAAGTTCTCCAAAAGAACCAAAATTATTTCCATCTGCTGCTTTGATTGCAATGAAGCCAACAACTGGAGTGAAAAGGAACAATGCAACTGCAAATCAAAAAGGAACCGGAGGAAATACTGCACACAAGAAATCAGATGTTAATAGTCAGGAATTTGTTACAATTCCTGCGTTGTTCAGTGAGCCAGACCGAGCCTTTCAAACTACTTATCCCCATTTATTATGCACAACCAGACAAAAAGTTAAAGATTCCTTTTTTGACTTGAATAATAAAAATTTCTCAGGATGCCGTTCTTCTGGACACAAAATCTGGTGCAACTGGAAAACGGCCTCTGTTCTATTTCTACATTCGTGCTAAAACTTGGTCTCCATCTGGTGATGATTTCTATGTGCGAACATTATCACTTCCATTTACAATCAGTACAAGAAGAAATCAAGATTGTCAAGTACAAAGAATGAATTCATCGTATACGGCAACTTGTTTTTGGATGTACGGAACATGCTCCTTCAATGGATTACTTCTGAACTGGAATGAAAATCGTAAGTTTCCCATAAATTCGGAAAACAACTTAACGGTGGGAAGATATGGAAAAATGATTTTCTCCAAACTCCGTTTCTATAAACCCCCGAGAACACTGAACATTGTGCACTGTTACGTCAGAATGCATTTCCTAACTTCAAAAAATAATTTCGTAAAATCTCCTGTCCCACTTCTTTAAAATCATACTTGTGAAAAAGATGGCCGGCCCGCTTTTTAGAAATTTTGAAATTTTAGAGCGAATCATTATTTTTCAAGATGGTTTTTCTTTTTAGTGAACGAAAATCCACACTAGAGGCCGATACTGTCGACAAAAACTGGTTTGAAGTCGTAATTAGAAAAAAAAGTTTCATCCTTGGCTTAATGAAGTTTGATTTTTTTTGCTAAAAATTCAATTAAATTGACTTTTTCGGATGGTTGTGTGCATTTGGATTAATATTTGTGCCATTATAAATATTTTTGCACATTCGAAAAATAACATTTTCGAAAAGTTGTCCTAGGCGGCACGGCCCGGCCATCCACATGTATGTTTAAAACACTGATTTCAGCATTGACATGGACCCAATTTAAAGAACTCACACGTCGGTACTTCATGGTCAACGGAGAAGTCAAACGTACAATGGAGGAATCTGATTATGCCCTATTGGAAGACAAAATGCATTGTGAACAGTGTGGAGACGATACCGATGACCAACATGGAGAAAACTGCATTAGTTTCAAGAATATTCTCTGTTCCCATTTGAGATTCGACACTGACACCGTCCAAATGCGATTCAGTGTTTGGAGGGGAATTCTCGAAGTTCTTCAGATATTTCAAGATCCAAAAGCAGCTGTCAAAACTCTTTGGGAAAACTATTTGATGCATGGATTC